TGCTGCTGATAGCACAGCACTGCAGAGCAAAAACAAAGTCAGGAGGATCTTTTGTTGGTAACACTCAGATGCGACTTTCAGTTCACGCACAGCCACCAAGGCAGAGACCTGACACAGTCGAGCAGCACAGGCTCCTCGCCTGGTTTTAACACTTGCAGAAATCCCCTGTTAAGTGAACTTCTGCAGCACAGTACTGCTGATGTTGTGAGATAACCCCCCAGTCCCATGAGCAGTAGGGCTCGATCTGGGCTTGGGAGATGTAATATTCTGATAAAAAACGGCACTTCCTTTTCAAGCAGATAAGTGCGTGTGCTAGCAGCACCCCGGGACCTCAGTACGCGCCTCGGCGAGGGTTTGTCATCCTCTCCTGTCTCACTCCAGCCTTTTAACCACCCCCTTTCGCACACCTAAACGCAGCAGCAATTAGCATCCATAAACCACAAATGTGGCTTCTATTTCTTTTTATTTCACAACCATGAAAGCTAGCTAACATTCATAACACCCCAAAAGTTGTCTGCCTCAACAGATGAGGGAATTAAGACATAATTAAACGCTTGTGCTTGACTGTGACTCCCATAGGAAAGAACACGGCTCTTTTAATTTAATTTTTAAATTAAGGATGCTTCAACTTTGGCCACCAAAGGTAACGGTGCTGGGGGCACATAAAGAAACGAGGGACATTATGTGCTTCCTCCCCTGTCTGTCTCATTGCTTGTCTCTTTTCAGACTAGATACAGGAAGCACCATGGGAACAGAATATTTTTATGGTTGCAGGCAAGCGTACACCATGTGCACCACAGCATGCAGCTTCCATTCCCTTGGGGCAAAAAAAAGGGTTTTTTCTTTCTTTTTTTTTTTTCTTGTTCTCCATCAAGCTTTTAATTAACATATTACTATAGCCTTCTGCCTGATTGTTTGCCCTATACTTAGCAATCATCACAGTTGAAGCCCTTTTAAAAGAGGTGTACAATAGGACAGGTTGAATTGTTTTCATTGAGTGGCATCTCACCTTCGTCACTTACGACACAGAACGAACGCCACGTCAGCCAGCGTGTTTGCGCGCACGCAGAGAAGTACAAACAGGGAATTGTTTGCTGAAAAAGTGGATTTTCTGATACCAGATGAGCACCAGTTATGATGACGCTTCAGCCCTATACATTAGTTATTTAGTGCCTTTATGAAACATCTATAGCCTTTGGAAAGGATCACAGTACCACCTTCTGCAGACCTAACATAAAAGGTTCCACTGAACTACAGTCAGACAACTTCTAGATTTGACCAGGCTCCAACTTCTGTTCAAAGTCTCAGAATAAGTCCCCACGATGCATTTAGTGTTACCCATTAATAATGCAATATTCACAAAAAATGTATAGTCGAAGAAACTAGAAGATTACTACTTACTATGAATGCTTGACAGAACATGGAAAAACCAGTCGTAATGGTACTGAAGAAAAACATGTTACAGACATACTGAGGCAGTGGAAAGCAGACTATCAAATGCTTGATCTCATCTATGAGTCAGTGGCCTCATGTTCTTATGATGGCCTTCAGCAGATAGAACAACCCCTGCGGGCATGGATCATGCAGGGCTTCAGGATAAAAAAAGAAGAGTTTTCTGTGTTGCAGGCTATCATCAACAATGAATCGTGAAGATACTGAAGTGGAATTGCTCATTCACAAAAGGGATGGACCACGGATGCCGTGATTAACAGTTATGAGAACGACACAAACATTTTTCACTATTTCTCTTTACATTTGATGTGTACTGAGGGTATTAGTGATCACATCTGGAAAAGTGCCAGAGAGCGCTTTTTTTTAAGCAGACAGACTTTGCAGGTGTAGGCAGGGCACAATCCATTTCCCGAGAGCCATCACCGATGCTGACAATATTTCTCTTCTGTGATTCTGGAGAATACTATATATTCATTTTTACCAGAGTTAGTGATCCCCAAAAGATAATACTCCCACCAAGGCAGCACTGTCAGAATGTGGTTTCACTTATCTAGAAGCAAGACAGATAGTTACTGACCCACAAGGACTGCTCAGCGACTAACGTAGCTGCTGTTGACCTGCAACTTATTTAATAGGCGTGACAGGAAAGCAAAGATTATTTGTGAATTTTAGTATCCAACAGCAACTGAAATGGCATTGGGCTTTAGGAAGAAATTTAAATGCACCTACTAATATTTGCACAGCCTATAGTACTAGCACAGCACGCTTAAATATTTAAGATTCACTGTCCTTCCGGTATCAGAATGACTGTAGAGAACTGTATGCGAAGCAATGAAGTAAACACAATATATTTTTGTGCCATTTAACACTGAGATACTGTAACTATCTTTTTCGTACATTTAAAACTGCTTTCTCGTAGCAATCATATCTTTATTCCTACAGTGAGAATCAAAGAACAGAGCACTGGTACTGAGTAGGTTCATACTCACTTTATAATGAAGGAGCACTCTAATGGTCTGGGAGTCGATCAAAGTGCAATGATGTTTTATTGATATTTATAGCATTATCTTTGAGATGTAAATTTTCAGTATTTGCATTACAGAACAAACTATAAAGAGACCTCAAGAGATCAGCAGCAATATAAAAAATGAATGGTGTTTAAGAGCAGTATCAAAATAAGCATTCTTTCACAAGTCTCTAAGTTGTACCTGACTTAAATGTACGGAAAAGAGCCTGAGAAAGGGTACTGAAGCTGAAGGGCACAGGACAGCAAAGGAACTGAAAAAAGACTCCCTGGATGCCATGACGCTGTGCGTGCAAGTGGTATAGACAGGGCTCCTGGAGTGTGAAGGTGGGGAGAAGCTAGAGCAATTCCTCTTAGATGGTCAATATTGAGGGATTTGTGAAAGAAACCCTGTCCTGGCTTCCTGTATCCACAGCTTAGTGACTTGGAGGAGCAAAGGGCAGGGACACCGGGGAAGCAGAGGTAAAAGAGGTGAGCTAGTGCGAGTGGAAATGGCGTAAGGGCTAGACAAAGAGCTGGACTATGGCTGTGAATATTTCATGTGCTGTGGGATCTGAAATTCAGATCAGATGCCCCGGTTGTAGAAAAGGCTCAGGCCTTCCATGTTCTGTGGATAAAAACATTAAACTTCTCTTTTTAGGGTAAGCTGAGCGGAACTTACCTGTTCAACCTAGATTCCACACCACAGACATCTGTACTAAGCTACTCTCCACTGACTACACGTGGAGTCCTGCTAAGCAGCAGCTGCTGTGGGGACACGAGGCATTTCATCCTAAGTCAGACACCCAAATTCGGTCAGAAAATCTGCATGCTCCCTCTCCAGCAACTGTCAAGAAAGGCCAGACACCGGTACAGTTCTAGACACCAGTGCTGTAGATACCTGAGGGAGATTAATTTCACCCTCCTCAGGGACTCTTTTGTTAGTGCAGCACTCCCTTGAGTGTTTTATGCTGTTTTGTAGTTTGTTAATAAAGTGACACAAATTTAGTCTTTAATAATGCAAAAGTTTAACATCTGAACATTTGATTTTAGTCCAAAATAAAGTCATCACGTTTATGTTGCAGGGAACACGGGCAACCAAAACAGAGAGAATTCTCTAGTGATTTATTTGATTCATGTGATATGTAAACGCTACCTCAAAACTACAAACCAAAGCCACAGGCACAATTTGCTTTGACACTGCTGTACTGCCATGGACACGCAGCACTTGAAGGGCAACGTGAATCTGGTAGAACAATGTGTGTCTTTTCCCCAGTATATGTATACCACATCCTCTACCAGGCAGCATTTTTCACTGTTTGTGGTTGAGAACTGGCATAAACGAACACGCTCAATTCACTGGCAGGAATGTTTATTAATGCTGTGATTTCAGTTTATGAGCTTCTACATCAAGGAAGAAATTCAAAGATCTTGCGCTACATCTATGTCATACACGCATATACAAATCCTGAACTCTGAGGGCCTGCAAGATCGCCGAGTCCAGGAGCTGCTTCTTTTATCTTTTATCTATTAAGTGAACAGGGCCTAGTTTTTAAAGGTATGCGGAAATATGCATTTATGTAGGACCTCTTAAATAATAAATAGTACATACTGTTTTAAAATTTACTTCATACCTGTGTCTTCTTTCAGAGTTGTATAGGAAGGGTTTACTGTTCAAATTAAACAATAAGCATGGTAAACTGACCAACCTTCCGTTCACCCACAGTTTAAAATACAGGATTACTCCTACAGTTTTAGATTTTACAGGGCTGAGTTGTCCTATGAATTTGAGGTAACTTGTGCTTTCTTTAAAAAAAAAAAAATTGCCAAGTTATTTTTCAGATATCAGAGTAACTTAACAACATTAATAAAAAATGCAGTCCTAACACATGCATTTGTCACATGCAAACTACTTTTAAGAATTGTATACTACAACAAACAACAGAAGAGCTCACCGTATGCATATGCTTTTTTATCTTGCTACCCATTTTTCATAGATCCTGTAAAGGTGACCTTTATAAAATGCCTGTGAGGTTCCCTGATGGAAAACAGTTGCTCCTCCTTTAGAGCACGTTGAAAAGCTCTAAACTAATTGTATTGTTATTCCTTTAACAGACATGCAGGAAAATCAGAGCCATGATCCAGAAAAAAAACCTTCTCATAGCATAATCGGATGAATAAAAAGACAAAACTATTATTTATCAGAATTCAAGCTCCACTTTACCTCCTGCTTCTTCAGTAGAGTGACTGTGTTCCTTCATATCTTCCGCATTATCCATACTTTCCATTTCCTGGGATTTGTTCAGATTACAGTCTGTCAAAACCTCCTGTCCTTCTGGGAAAAAAACAAACCAACAAGTAACTGTTTATGCTCCAAGAATATTTCCAGGTATTACCTCAAAGTATCTGCAGGCTCCCAATCTTGCTCACAATGCCCACAAAGTTCTTCCAATAGAGGCATTAGTTGCAGTTTGGTTGAATGGATTTGCTTCCCGAAGTCATATACAAACTGTCACACAGAGCACCCACCTTTAACTACGTCTTAAGCTTTTGCTCAGTTTTAACTATTCTGGAGGTGGATCTAAACGACAACAAAACAGGAATAAAATCCAGTATATGTAACGCTATACATCGTATGTATTCTGACGACTGCTGCTAGTGGGTAAGCAAACAAGCTCTTCAGAGCATGGAAAAGGAATCACAGCTCTACTTCGTTCATTTGGGCAAAATATTAATCATTCTGGCCCCAGGCCAGGAAACTGCTCAAGCACGTTTAATCGGAAGCCTCTTTGAACACAGTTGCACTTCTCTGCTTATTCCACAGACACGTTTTTAAGCATCAACATTGTCAGAAAGTTTTTCTGCTGATCACTGTGGCAGCAGTATGTCCCAGAAATCCACGCCTCTCGTCTCTGAAATAAAGCCAAATTTTCAACTATAGTGAAATTTATGAGTGAAGTTTTCCAATAAAGCCTCTTTTCATAAAATCCGTGATACAGACTAACTCGATATTATGCATATTTCTGTAAATTTCAGATCAGTATTTTGTTTCAAAAAATGACTGCTTTCTTCAACAATCCCATGAATTTTTAAAGTGCATAGCAATTGAATTTGCAATGTGAAATTGCTGTTAAAATTGTTTAACTTCTTAACAGTTGCACAGTAAAAAAACCCAATCCTTCTCAAGCTGAATATTACACTGGATCTGAAAAAATGTATTATTTTTTTATTAACAAGAAAGTAAAACACTTGTCCAACTCACACAAGAGGTTTGTTTTCATATTTTCAGAAATGCAGTCAACCAAAAGAATCACATTATTCTTGCTTCCCTAATCAAAACTTCCAGCTTTCTTCTGAAAACATTCCCTTTCCCAGTACATAGTCTTTTTTTCCCTTTAGTGTCATTTTCCAATATTATATTGAACTTGAACTTGCACTTATTTCAATTCTAGAAGTTACTTTTTGCCTTTAATGCCCATCTTCATATCTGTGACTGTGCTATTCAGTGTCCTGGGAATCTAAACAAGCTGCAATGCATGTATTTTTCTCCACTAAAATGTAAAATTGTCAAGAGAGGCTGAAAGAACATAACTTGACTAGCACAGTACCTGCAGCCATGGGCTGTTCCTGAGAGTTACTTAGGTCCATACCTGCCTGTGAATCTGCAAAAGACAGAAAAGCAGCCTGAGTTACTTAATATTTAGAACCATTCATGACACAGTTATTATAATCTTATAAATTCCTGTTTTCTTGACTGAAAGCAAAATTGAAAAAGCAAAATTTTCAAAGAAATAAATACCAAATAATTGTTATGTTTCATTGCACAACTTCTTCATGCCTTGAGCACTGGCATGTGCCCAGAAAAGGGATTAAGTATTATTTTTAACTTCAAAAAATTATAGAACAGAGTAACTTACACTTTCAGTTTACCATCTCATTCTACACCCTGTGAGCACAGCACAGTGTTAGTAACTCTATATAAAGTGAATTCTTATAAAGCACAAAGCACAAGATGTTTTTACATTCCTTTTTCAATAAAAAGGAAAAACCCTATATCTTCACGAGTTCTATTTGGTTTTCATGGGAATGCAGGTCTAATTCCCATTTAGAAATTCTGATAGGGATCACGTGTCAGGAATTTAAAAAAAATTGAGGACTACATATGTGCCCCGATTTCCAAAAGTGCTGAGCACTCAGCAGACCACTCTGAAGACAATATAAGCTGCAGATATTTCAATCTCCCACTTGTGCCCAAATTTAGGCTGGCGAGTTTAGCTGGAGGCACAGATCTGACCTGTCCAGATAAGCCTTTACTCAATGCCTTGCTGCCTTGAGATTTCATTACTATGAGGGTTGATTTTCTTAACAGTGTCACAGCTACCTGCTTCCTTCCTCCTTTCTTTCCTCTAGCTTTTTTTCCTCTTTTTTATACACCAGAAAGTCTTTTATCACCTTTGAACATAAAAAATAATAGCTCCAGGACTCATAAAATTCATTCCTGGCAGTTACATAACAGAAATACACATGCAGTGGCCCTGAGGTGTTAACCACTAGCGACATTTACCCCATAATTATCTATCTTTACCACCACTGCATATGGAACATTTTTGTGGTCTCTGCAACGTCAAAATGTAAAGCTCTGTTAACTCTACAGCAAGGAAGCCGAGTATCAGAAGAGGCTATCCAAAAAACTGCAAGAATAGAGGATGGGCCGATGTGTCCAATAAAATAAAGGCAAACTGAGAGAAGAAAAAAAAGCAACGACAGAACTATCCAGCAAATCTTTTTTAAATGTTTGGTTCTGTTGTCTCCTAAATGAAAGTATGCGGCTCTCATTTCTCAATAATGGGTCTAAGAGTTTCATTATGCACGTAGTTCCCATTACTCTTAACTAGCTATTACCAAAGCGCAGCAAGAAAAAAACAATGCATTTAAGGACAGACTTAATAATTCAAGCCATCCAGCAGTGGCCTGAGCTCTTCAGGGCGTAACTCCTGACTGGAGACAAGTTGTTAAGCTATTAGCACTTATGAAATGTATCCTAAAATTAAATCAGAGCTCTTATCCTTTCATGCACATTTAGCATGAATGCAAGTGTCTTTTATTAGAGCCAAGAATGTTGCCTTGTGCCATAAAGATAGTCACGGAATTAAATAACAAAAAGTTAAAATATTTACTAAATCTGTAATTTTTACATAGATAAATAAGATCAAGGAAATCCATAGTTACAGCTCTTAATTTGTCTTTGTTTCATTTTATTATACCAGGAAAAGTGAGGTACAAAGAAGCAAGCAGACCATTTTATCCTGCAGATAATGATGGGGAAACATCAGTAAATACATGGTACGTGAAGACAGTTCTCTCTAGTACTGATTTTAATTTTACATCTCAATAATAGAGATACGTAAATTACACAAACCTTTGTAATTGTGCAAATAATTAAGCTTTGGGCAAGACAATGAAATCCCCACGGACACCTCCTGAGCGCACAGGATGCGTACCTTGCTACAGCTTATTGGGTAAATCGCACCAGCACACGCTTCTGCACGGAGGGCTCAGCGCAACACCGCTAACAGTCAGTCAACTGTTCTGAGCACCTCGGAGCTGCAGCGACGGGGTGACTTGCTGGAGAATGGTACTGCCTGAACCACCACAGCCCAACAGGACCTGTTCAGCCAGTCCTCCGACACTCGTCTAGCTAACGTTGAGGTGGTCTCTAAGCATTTATTTACATTTTGTTGAGCGTAACACGTTCCTGTCCATGATGGGCTGCTGGGCAGTACAATCCTTCTGAAGAGATAACAACGACATACCATATAACGTTTCTCTTTTGAGAAATATCCCAGTCTTTGTATCACTTTCAAGCCTCCAACATCCACTCATAGGTACCTGGTTTCTTTATGATACTAGTCTCAAGCTGCTTCTTACAGTCTTAGTGGTCTCTTAATATTTAACCTCAGGTCTCCTTCCCGAGTAAAGTATTTTAAGCCAGATCCTTCACTGTGTCACGTTAAGTGTGCTAGAAGGAGGTCTAGGAAGCTTCCATCCCCGATTCTGTACAAATAAGACCATATTTCTACCTAACAGTCAGAAAAGCGCAACACGGGAAATCACTTACAGAACACGTTAATCTTCCCAAGCTTCAAAGAGATCCACTGACTAGGGTGCATGGAAAGGAGACGCTTGTCTTGTGTGTGTTGCAGCTGACGCACGTTCTTCTGCACAAAGCAGAAGTAGAATTCATATGCTTTTGAAACCAATCCTAAGCCATCCTCTGTTCTACACCAATAGCCAAAGTCAGCAAAAATATTCAAATAGCTTGCTAAAAAAGTGCTATGGCATTTTAATACATAACCCCATTAATACTTTATCCTGGTATTTGAACAGTTAATAGAAGCAACAAAAGAGCCTACCTGTATTTTACCCCCCCTAGAATGGATGTTTTTCAAATGATAACACTAGTGCCCTTCTACCATCAATACAGCTGTAGCAAACAGAATGGAAAGTACCTCTTGAATTATTTTAATCTTACCTGTTTGCCTCCAAAGTGAAAACCAGAACATTGCCTTTTTACTGCCAGCTGCAGTTGTCAACCCAACAGCATTGCGAAGGGGACATCTTTTTAAATCCCATGTGCTCTTAGTACTTCTATCACAGCACATGGAGCAAACACAGCTTGTTCCCTTGTCTTGCGCCATCTTAAGAGGCACAAGCAAGTCAAAATAAAACATACACCGATTTTGGCCCCTGCCCTACAGGTAGACCCCTGCAGCCTTACCCCTAAATGCTCGCAGCGGAGTCAGCACCTTTGCTGTGTACTGCAGTCAACCTCTTTCACCCCAACACGTTTTTCACCTTCAACCCGCATCGTACTATTAAAGAGAGGAAGCTGATCTAGTCTCCCCACTGAACGGCCTTCTTCAGCATTTAGTCTCAGTGGCTTTCTGAAGAAAGGTACCTGGACCAAACAAACTCTTTGCACTTTTCATAATAGGGTCTCTAACGTTTCTCTGCTCTTAAGCCATGTAATGTTTGAAATGGCACGGGCACATGTCATTTTGGGAAGAAATCCTGATCAGCAACATGTAACTAAGGATAACATTTTTCTCATATTGTAGCATATGAGCTTCTGAAAACAGCAGAATATTTTCTAGTAATTCAACATGTTCATCCCAGTACAGCAAATGGAAATGATAGCACAAGGTCAGTTCTTGTGAACTTTGCAAAAACAAAACAGTCATGAAGAGCTGCAACCAAGCAGACTGCAGATTCTGGCTTCCCAGACAGACCCAGGTCTCAAATACCTCCTCTTGCCCGTGCCTGTCTCCCGGCCAGTGACCGTACTGAGCTTCCCCACACTGAGCACAGAAAATCCAGGACAGAAGTGTCACCCCTTTGTCCTCAGTGGTAAATTTCCCATTGACTCCAGTGGAACTGAGATTTTCCCAAGACCGAGGGAAACAGAGACGCTTGGCAGTTATTGTATCCAGAGATAACACAGCCCCACACGTTTACATTAACTTCATGCCAAACATAACAAGCTTGGCACATTAACTGATCCTCATAATCCCCAGGTATAGAACTAAAACCTGAAGGATTATTTGCATGTTAGCTTTAGGTGTACAAGAAATAGGAACACAAAAAAGAGACTTCTTAAATAATCTCAGTTGTAATGGCAGAAACATGCTCATTTTCTAATCAGAGACTATACGGACACTCCTACAGAGCTTTCTTCTCCCACAAAAGATATCCCGTGGACCCAACTTGATCAAGAAAACGAGGCTGCATTTTTAAGCGCCAAACTGCCACCAGACCCATTCTTTCAAAACATTAGTTACATCTCTCAGGCAGCGATAATCTCGATTCAGTGAGGTTCTGTGAGAGTAATTATTTAAGCACAAACATTTAAAAAGCCTCTAGCAAAGGAGAACACATTTTTAAATAGGCAACTGCCTCGAACTTAAAATAACCAAAAACCTTAAGTCATTGAGACACAGCAGAATCTAAACTCAAGCCCTGAAAACGATGCGTTGAAATTAGACTATCCACCGCTGAAATAATAAATCAAGCGATGCTTTGCAAGGCTTCTTTGCCAGGCTTATTAAAACCACCGGTAATTGTGCTTTTCTTCAAAAGCGAATGATGCTGTAGCCCAAGATTAACTCGCGGCTTGTTTTTTGCCGGCTCTGAAAGTTAGACGCACGTTTTACAAGCCAAGAGAGACCAACACGCCCTTTAATTCGTTAAAACCCAGAACACGAAGAGTAGATAAAGCGGGCTCTAAAAGCCGCCTTTATCATACACGCTGGGATGTTTCTGAAATTAAACAGAGAAGGGGGGGAAAAGCCCCGTTCGTTTCCTGTTTAATTGCAACCCGCGATCAGCTTTCTCCCCCGGGGGCTGCG